ACTTTTCCATGCTGGAATGGAGAGGGGCAGGGGAAGTGGGCCAGCAGGCTCAGGGGGAGAGAGGGGGATTAAACCCCACTGCCTGCCCTCTCCCACTCACACAGGACCCCAGCCCAGGTCTGTCCAGCTTTCCCCCCCTGGGCACCACTTTAGTGGTGAGGGGTGTGGCCAGGGCAGCAGCTTCAGGTGAAGTTGGGGAGGGAAGGGGATTAAAACCCCCATCTCCCTTCTCTCCTAGTGGCATTGAGACCCTAGCCGGGATCTACCTGGCTTTCTATTCTGCTGACCACTCACGTGGTAGGAGGCGTGGCCAGAGTCAGCCTTGGCAGCAGGTGTTGCCTGGGTTGGCTGTGTTGGCAGGGGCTGCTCCACTCCTGCCAACAGGTATCCTGCCTGCCTTGTGGTTGCTGCCAAAGGGAAGGGAGGGCTTGCTTTAGCACACCTTGGCTTCTAGCCTGAGCCACTGCAGGCATGTGTCTGCATTTCTGGAATCAAAAGTGAATGTCTATTCATTTGCAAATCAGTTTAATTTACACAGATTAGACTAACCTGCAAAGCTTGAATCAATTCAAGCTCGGACTTTTTGAATGTTTGTGCTTAGCCTATGTATTTGGATTTCAATTTAGTTCAACTCTGAAGTTCAACTCTGAATTTCCTTCTAATAATTTTTTTGGGGAATACTTACAATATCCCCATAATATTTTACCCCCTAATATTATTGGTATGCTATAGACAGCCTTAACTCCATTTAAACATAGTTCTTTCAGATATATATTATGAGGTATTAAGCAAGTGTTAAATCACTTCAAGGAAAAAATATTTTTTTAAAACACAGTGTTTGGACTGGAGTAATTTAGGGGCATCATTGTTCTCATGACTGAAGAATACTTTAGGAAAAAGGCTTTGGAACAACTCTATACTTTCTTCTAGTGTACAGGAGGCTGCTGTTAACCAACTGCTCTTCTGCCTAGACAAGTCTTCTGCTAGGTAACACAGAATTCTAGTCTCTCACCCTCTTTCTGTTCAGTGTGAAAGTCATCTTGATACCATGGGCAAATACCAATCTGAATAATCTCCAGTTCACGAGTCCATCTTGCAACTCTCAGTTTGGGCAGTTTTGCTATGTGATGTTTAACAGCTGCTGCACTCCACTTTAGACTGGCTTTATTTCAGTGGCTGGTGAAAAGAATAGTGTATTTTTTATTTTTATTTTTTAATTTTTAATTTTTAGTGTATTTTTAAGTACTGTATATACAGAAGATGTACTACATGTATGAAAAATGTATGTATGTACTACAAGATGTATGAAAAGAGCTTAAAGTTGTTTTTAAGTGCTTTGGGATCTTTCTCCTTGCTCCTTGCTTTTTCAACAATTATGACATAAGAATAGAAATAAGTGCAAAGTCATATTACAGCCAGATACATATTCTTGAAAAAGGCAGAAAAAACATTCCTGAAATCCTACATTACGCTATCAGAATCTCAGAGCGAGCAATAGTTCATAACTTACCTAAATTGTCACTTAATTTAAAGACATAAGTCATGTGACACTTTCTCTTTGGGACATTCTACTCTTGTCCAACTTTGTTCTGCAAAGTTATAAAAAAACCTGTAAGAAAAGGCTGATTGCTTCCTGTGTCATAACTCTGCACAAGTAAGCATTTATGGTAAATATACTGCAAAACTTTTGGAGACGTGAAAACTTTGCCAAAGCAAAAACTGCACTGAAGACTTTGAGACCTAAAGCTGTTGTATTATATATCCTGCAATTTTTGTGGTTGCAGTAGACCAGTGGTGCTCAACCTCTGGCCTTCAGGCTGAATCTGGCCTGAGGGGCCATGTCACCCAGCCCACAGGGCTCCCTACAAAACTGGAAATTTGGCAATGGGGGTGCAATGACAGTGTTAATTGCTACCGTTTCCAGAGCCACAGCTGACAGCCAATGCAGCTACCATTCTAAATCACAAGTTTGTCATGCTAGTTATGCCAGATGGGCTATGATAAATTCTCTACCTCCCGTTATGACATTCTATTTTGTTTATGCCATATAGTAGAGCTGTGCGAAACAGCACCATTTCGATTTGACTTCTGTTTCACCATTTCAATGGGACAATGTTTCATTTTGTTGTTTCATTTCATTTCAAAACACTGTTCCATTTTGTTTTGTCGGAACTGTTTCGCTGTTTCAACGCGTTTCGACATCTCGCCCATAGGCTATAAGGGGGAATCATGAAAATGCCTATCGCTTTGTCATTTTTTGCCTGATTCAGATGAAAACTGCAGGGATGGTAGCCCCTTCTGAGGGCATGATGTCTGTCATGTTTCAAGGAGATAGGTGCAGAGGTTTCTGGGAAATTGCACCTCAAATTGTTCAGAGCAAAACTCACATCACTTGCCAGCAGTGGCAGCATGCTGTCATCCTGAACGCTGATCCGGGGGCCCACGTGACCCAGGAAGAGTCTGGCACAGCCCTGCAGCCCTCCTGGGGGGTGCAGGCCCCCAGATCTTTGCATGGGATGACAGCCAGCTGTAACTGCTGGCTGGGGCCAGTGGCAGCACCAGTCTTCCCAGCACTCGGTATGGGCTGTGTCCAGCACCAGTCCTAGCCAGCAGCGGCGGCCTGCTGTCATCCTGCGCGCACATCCAGAGGCCCATACCCCCTGGGAGGAGTCTGGCACAGCCCCACAGCCGCGCACGGGGTAACAGCATGCTGCCGCTGCCAGCTGGGGACAGTGGTAGCATCAGTTCCTGGCGCTTAGCACAGGCTGCACCCAGCACTAGTCCCAGCCAGCAGCAGCAGCCTGCTGTGGCCATGCCATGCTGCCATGACCACACGCCATGCTGCCATGTGGCCATGCTGCCACTGCAGTTTCAGTGGCAGCCTGTTGAAAACCCGCATGCCGATTGGGGGTCCATGCCCCCCAGGAAGAGCTGGAGAAATTATCAGAGAGCTGGGGAATTGAACAGGGAGCTAGATGTCAATATCAGAGCAGTCCTTCCTCCCTCTTCCCCCTCCCTCTCTTTAGTAAATGTTTAGCTGCAGCAAGCCCAGCTTCAAAACTCAAAATGTTTTGAAACGTTTTGAGTGCGCTCATTTTGTTTTGAAGCTGATTTGAAGCCTTTTGTTTTGTTTTGATTTTGTTGTTTTGACTTCGAAATGCATTGAAACAGCTTCAAAAGAAAACACCTGTCAAAATTTTGCATAGCCCTACTATGTAGGCCAGAGGAAGAGTTCAATAGGTGCACTTTGAAATTGTTTTTATGTGCATTCACAAACAAAGCAATATTTTGTTGCTAGTCCAAGTTGTTTCAACCCTAACTCTGCTGTTTTTTCCCCATGAACCGGAGATAATGGTTACATTTGCTTTGCTAGCTGACAGGCATTTATATTATTTTATTTATTTATATATTTATTAGATTTATAAGCTACGCTTCCCAACAAAGTCTTAGGGAGGGCAGCTTACTGAAAGAGAACAAAATAACATATAAAGCAAGAGAATGCACAAGAGAACAAAACAAGAAAACTAACCAATTTATAAAGGCAAGTAGCTAACTAAAATAGAAAACCACCCAGCCCAGAATAATATCCTAGTCTAGCCTTGCTTCCTAAATGCCTGCCCAACTTAGAAGGTCTTACAGTGTTTCTTGAAGATGTCTGGGTTTGGGCTCTAGCAGGAGGGAGTTCCAGAGCTGAGGTGTGACTGCCAAGGGTGACCTCTGAAGTGTTTTTACCAAGTAAACTTGGCGTAGTGATGGTATTTGCAGGAGATTGCTCTCATCTGACCTTTGAGATCATAATGGGACATAAGGGAGAATGTGGTCGCTTAAGTAAAAAGGGCTCAGATCCATAGAGCTTTATAGGTCAAAGCCAGCACCTTGCATTGCACCTTGAAATCGACTGGAAGTCAGTGTAGACTTGGGAGCACTGGAGTTATGTGCTTTTGCTCAATGCCCAGAAGGTGTGCTTCTATGTTCTGCACCAGCTGCTTCTACAAAACTTGAATGACAAAAGGAAGCTGAACTACATCAATTATAAGTATCCCAATCTCCCTTCTCCTTCCCACACTGTGAAAAAGAAACATACACATGTATGTCCTATATTTTATTCAATCAGCCCATTTAAATTTTAATAGATATCTTGAGCCATTTGACAGGGAGAAGGGTAAAAGTTGACGTTTATACTGTTCTACAGAAGTGTACCAAAGCAGGCAGGCATTCAGGCAGCAGGATGCATGGAAGCAGCAGTGATTTTCAACTGCTGCTGTGCCACAGGCATGATTGTGTGGCTGTAGTGGCAGCTGTTATTTTTCTGCCCCTCCACAAGCTGGTACCCCACCTTAGTTATACAACTAGGGGTTCTTCTCTTTAAGAGAAATTACTCCCATTAGTACTCTGAATGACTGGCTTTTACATGGTAATTATGAAAGTTCAAAGAGAAAGTCAATCCTTTGTAGCAATGGGAGGCATACATCACAAATTTATGCAGCTTGTTGCTATTGCTAGTAAAATAAATTGACATTTGTGGTAATGTTTTCACCCAGTCTCCTTGTACACAATGAACTGGAGGCTGTGACCATTTCATATGATCTTTTGATATTTTCTCCTCACCAGATCCTATGTATAGTGCAGTTATTACCTACATTCCATTATTTTCCAACAGTGCATTGCTTCAGTCTCCCATGTTTGCACCACCAGACTGAAATGCTGATGCAAGGCCCTGAGCATGCATACAGCCAATGCACTATTGATATTTGATTATCTTCTTCCCTTTCTTCAGTGTTATGTTTTCAGGGTATAGCCCTAACCATGTACCTGCTTAATAATTTTAAAGCATTTTTCAGTCAGTGGGTCTGCAGCTCCAAGAAAGGAATCCAGCTCTTTGAAAGCAAGACTACTCTTGCTGAGTTTGTACTGACAAACAACTTTCAAGTGTTGACTAAAGACTCTTAGGACTCTCTTTATTGTAAACTGATTGTGAGGTGAACATACATACAAGTCAGTTCAGCGATAGCAAAGGATGTAATTTATTAAAAATTGCACATGCATACCTACACATACATTCTATGCACAAAAAATTCATCCCTCTATAACATCTTTCATGCCATGGGGCTCTGCAAAGTCACTTAATAGGGTTGGTTACTCTGTTTGATTGTCATCACTTTTTCCCAGCAAATGTGCAGCTATGATTAGCTGTTCTTCCTTGGTTCAATGCCTGAGTTGACAATTGTCCTAATATTATTTTTCATTTGGTGCCACACTAGCTTGATGCAGTTCATAGCAGGCCGTCTGAAAAAAACAATTATAATTTAGTTTTAATAAGCAGCAGAGCACTGGCCCAGGCATGTTCTACAGTAGGAAGGAAGTGAAGCAGAGCATCATCTGACAGAAAATACAGTACTCACTCTAGCAAAGTCCAAAACCAGCTTGTTACCAGAGCCTCTATAGACATAACAGTTACAGATGTGCATTTCAGGTCATCATCTGAGTAGGGGATAAAAAATGATAACATGACTAGTGACCCCCCAACATACTCTTGATATTAGTTAGCTGCATTACAATAAAAGCAATATTCTACCTTGAAGTGATATATGAGATCAAACACCCTGAGGCAGGGCAGCAATTCATTCTTGGTGATTGCTGTTCAAAGAATTTTCAATCCATTATCCCTGTAAAAACAGTACAGTGTAATATCCTACATTATGACTCATACATGGGCTTTTATTTACACACAAACGACGCTAGTGAACTATTACAAAAACTACCTTCAAATAGGATAATAGGACGAGGTAAACTCTAAATGTTTTGACATAATACATGAAAGCATACACACAGCTACTGACCAAAGTCAATACTGGCTTGTTTGCCAGAACTTAAGCCATTGTTAGATAATAGGTTTGCCATCCACGAATTGTGCAGTCATAAAGTGAGGCACTGACAACAGAGCTATAGTTCAAGAAGCCAAAATCATGAAAGCCAATAACATCCAGAGAGATTAGATGTCTCAGGAAACAGAATCATGATCTCCAGAAAGCAAAGGGAAACACAGAGCCTATATACATGTAAGCATCACAGATTACATAAGTGTAATAAGCAGGTCCCTTGATGAAATGCAGACCACATTGCAAAAGTTTTCCGCAGGGGTATGCCAGCATAGCTGTAGCTGTGGCAGTGAAGTGTATTTCGTATTAACTTTCATGCTATGAAAATCAAAGGGTGGAATTAGATTGCACTCTACCAGTAATTTAATTACATCATTGAGGACACTGAAGGATGAGGACATGATGTACATTATTAAAACTGGTTTAGCCCTTCTTTGGAGACTTCAAGTGTGAATGAGATCATTGATTACACCCGTACTAGAGCCACTGAGGCAGAAGAAAACTTTAGCAGATTGGAAAGATCTGGGCAGCACACTTCTGTGACTGAAACAGAGTTACTGTCACTCTGTATGGACCTGTTATGTGATGAGGTAAATGAGGCCCTCCTTCAAGTTGAATAAACATTTGTGTAGGAATGTGCAGCTTTATAGGGACAGTTCCTGTTCTTTGTTTTTTTTCTGCACTAAATTATCACATGTGCAAAGGCTAATATTTAGATAATGGCTAGCTCTTATGTAGCCCCTCTCATCCATACATTTCCAATTGTCTGCGCAGTAAGTGACGGTACTGAGGAGTCCTGGTGCTGCATGGATTGCTTCCGACCCTACTGCAGTAGCTTGTTGCTATTGTGCAGTATTGGTGGCATCATGGTTCATGCCCAATGATGCTATGTTGCTGTAGCAACGGACCATGTTGCCATAGCTCATCACTACAGCAATGTAGTATCTCATGTAGATGCACCCATAGAGAGATTAAGTGATGTGACTTGCCCATGGTGACTCAGCAGGCCAGAGGCCACACCAGGTTCCTATCCAGTGCTAGCCAAAGCTGCCTAAGGATTTTGAATAATACAGAAATAAAAAGTTTATTTCCTAAATAAACTTCCAAAAATGAAGTGGGAACTTTTTACCATCTTGTACTATATACTTTTCCCAGAGCCTGACGAAGGGACTTTGATCCCAAAAGCTTGCAGAAAAGGACATTTTTCTTGTGATTTCCCAGTTGGTCTAATAAAAGGTATCATTTTGGAACCAAGAGTTCTAGATTTTTGTATGACAGAAATAAAAAGACACTCCCCTAGAACCTCATCATCATAACAACAACAGCAAATAAGAAAATATTTACAAGCTTCGAAGAGCAGCAGAAACTTTTTAGCCCTAACAAATTTTCTGTGTGTATCACCCAGAGTGTTGACTGAGCATGTATGCGTATGTATGCTTATGAAAAACAAATTATTTTGTGCATGTATCATGTTTGTCTCATTCCATACCATTTTCTGCAGTGTTGTTTTCTTTGTTGTGAAGGGGAGGGGTGACACTTTTATGTTCTTGTTCTATAAAGGGAACTACAGAAGAAAGCCTCTGCTATCACAGGGGCTGGTCAATGCAGCCAGGACTAGCCCTTAGATTGATGCATAACAGAAAAATGCTATTTACAAATTAAATCAGGGATTCTCAATCAAGGTGCTACAGTGCCTTGGGGAGCCTTGAGATCGTTTCAAGGGTGCTGCGAGGTGCCATGAAATGTTATGGGTGGAAACATAATTCGCAAGATAAAACCAGGGATTTTGAATAGGAGTCAACCATGTTAAAAACATTCTGCTCTATTGTGATTATTGAATCCTTTGCAACAGAAAAAATGCTCTTTTATTTTTTTAAAATGAAACAATGAGTGAAAACCAAGGGCTGGTATTTTTCTGAGGGGTACCTTGAGCCTAACAAGATTAAAAACCACTGAATCCCAGATGTTCTTCATGGATCCATCTTGTGGTCCATCTTATTTACATTTTCATTAGCAAACTGAGTACAGGAACTAGATGTATGCTTATGACATTTCCAGACAATGCTAAGCTGGGAGGTATTACTAACACATTGTGGTGGGGGGGAACAGGGACGTGGGATGACCATCTTTTCACAGAGGAAGAATGAGATAACTGCTTAAAGGGAAATGTAATAGTACAAAGGGCAACATCATTAACTTAGGGACTGTTACCAAGACCTTTAGATCTATGGTTGGACATCATGTGCTGGAGGTGATAGAGGAAGAAAGGGATCTGGTTAATTGGCTGATCATATAAGCTAGGGACAGAAATTACACATAAACCAATATAAGTGATCAGAAACAAGTAAAACAAGTAAAATCTGTAACAGAATACAAGTTCAGTGCACATAAACCAGTTTCAAAATGGCTTTAACTGGTTTAAGATAAAGACTTAACTGATATGGGTCAAACTGGTTTATGAAACTTCTGCCCCAGACCCCTTCCTCATTCAAGTTAAATCACAGTTCCCCAGCATCCCAGAATGCTTTCTGGCCCTGAACTGGGCTGTGCCATCTGCTCCAGAGAGCAGGGCTGGCCTTGCTCCTTCACTCCCTAGCTGGAGCAGTGAGGGTTAGCTGACAAGAGGGTTGTGTGGCAAACTGAGTTGGGAATGCATCCCAGTCTGGGGTGGGGGCACAGGGGAGCGCAGGGGACTGCCCCACTCTCAGGCAAACCCCAGCTGGTCTGGGGTCTGGGGCCAGGGAGCGGGGGTTAAACACTCCTTCCCCCGCTCAAACTTACTGCTGGCTATGACTGTGCACTACAAATCCCAAAGGCATCTAGAAGCAGGAAGAGGAAGTGATGGGCAAATCTGCAGAGTCCTACTACTGTAATTCTGGACTTCAAATCCCAGAGATCTCGGGAGTAGCAGGAAGAAGAAGTGAACACACAGCCAGAGAACCATGCTCTAGCACCCCCTGGCTTCTGGCCTGAGCCACTGCAGGCATGTGGCTGCATTTCCTGAATCAAAGGTGAGTGTCTGTTCACTTCTGTTTCAATTTAATCTGTGCATTTTAGACTAACCTGCAAAGACTGAATTAATTCAGCCTCGGGCTTTTTGACTGTCTGTACCTAGCCATAATGACCCTCAGATTCCAGTGTTATGTGGCTATGAAAATGCAAATCTAGGTTGAATTAGGTTGGGGTATTTTACAGGGGAAACTGTACAAGGGATTAGTATGCCCTCTTTTAGAATGCTATTTACAGTTCTGAGCACCTATGTTTAAAAAATATATGTAAAAGGCCTGTAAGATAATTAGGTAAATGGATCATTTATCTTACGAGAAATCAAAATAGTTATCTGGTTTAGATCAGCTAAACAAAAGTTGACAGGGAATATGACTACTTTTTGTAAACATTTCGGGGTGAGGGGGAATATCAGAGGAGGAAACGAGGCTTTTAAGCTAAAAGAAAATATTGGTACAAGATCAAATGGGTAAACATGGGTCATGAATAAATTTAGACTAGAACACAGAAAAAGATTTCTAACCATTAGTGGAGGGAGGTTGGGAAGTTCTGGATAAGTCTTCCAAACAGTATAGTAGGGACAAAGAATATGAACTGTATCACAACAGAGCTTCATAAGCTTACAGAAAGGATAGTACGATAGGATTCTAGTATTTTTGGAGCAGTTATCAGAACATTTGATATAAAGTTGTCAGTGTTTGATAATACTTGAGTGGACTGAAAGGAAACCTAATTACCATTTTTGGTTGTTTGTATATGGGGAAAGGGTCTGGTAAACCTATGCTTGAGGGCTTCTGCTGGTTGCCTGCAGGGGCCAGAAAAAAATTATCCTCACCTTGAATGCATTATTTGGCTTCTGGGCATTCCCTGCTCACATCTTTCACTGATCACTGGACATGAGCTGGACTCTGGGTGGGAGCTTGGCTCAAGCATCATGGTCCTCTTAAGGATAGTTAACACCAGATGCCTGGATGTTGCTTTGGTCTAGATCATGTATTCAATATTAAGCTAATTGTCAGATTAGGGTTGTGATCTGTCTGTGCAGTTGCTTGGGGAATCAGAATCATTAAATGTGACAATTTAGTTAAGTAAAAACCGCAAGGAGGAGGTGTTAGAAACCTGAGATGTGATGGATTTTCCCACCACCTTCTAGCTCAGCAGCTGAGTGGTTAGGACCTTGCCTAGGGGGAATATACCAATGTTCTAGGTCTCCCCTCTCCCAGAAGCGGTTCATACTAGGGCTGTGCAAAATTTCACTGTTTCATTTCAATGCTGTTTTGACTAATTTTGAGCTCAAAACAGCAACATCGAAATGAAACAGAGGGCTTTGAATCAGCCTCAAAATGAAACGAGGGTAGTCAAAACATTTCATAAGTTTTGAAACATTTTGAGTTTTGAAGCTGAAGCTGGGTTTACCTGCAGGGAAATGGAAAGTAAGGAGAGGGAGGGGAAAGAGACGGGAAGGACTGCTCTCATGTTGACTGTGTAGCTGGCCAGTGACTGTAATCCTTCCCTGAGGTCCCTTCCAATCCCAGTGCTCTGGGGGAGGGATGAAAAAACAGTATAAAAGGCAGCATTGTTTGAACTGCCCTGCCTTCTGCCTCAGTGTCACTTGCTGAGCTGTATGTTCCAGCAGCTCAGCGTCAGACAACTATGGCTAGTAATGATCTTCTTCTAAAGGATTCCCTACTTGCTAGGCTAGGCTAGTCTAGCAAGAGGGATTTCAGAATATCTTTTTCTTCTAGACCCTTTTATTTTATTATTATATTCATTGATTTGTT